TTCTTCCTCCTCGAAATTCCTTTCCAGCAAGCTTCTACTCTCTTCTAGAAGCCTCTGCCAGGTCACACCTTCCAACTCCACACTAGGCCTTAGGGGTCTCATCAAAATGGATTTGAAATGGTCAACAAAACAATTGGCTATCCTCTCTTGGGTATCAAAGACTATTCCATCCACTTCCAGTTTGGACACTAGGTTTTTCCTTCTCCTGCCATTGGCTAGGTCGTGAAAGAATTTAGTGTTCCCATCTCCTTCCTTAATCAACTTACATCTAGAGTTCAGCCTCCAAGAAATTTCTTCTCTCAAAATGACTTCGTCTAACTCTCTTTTCAGATCCCATCTCCGATCTCTATCCTGAGGGCTTATGGCTCTTTGGGATTCCTTTGCATCCAGTTCCTCTATTTGGGTCAACAAAGAGGATTTCATTTCTTCTATTCTCTCAAAATGCTCCCTATTCCAATCCTTCATCTGTCTTCTCAATCTTTTTAGTTTTTTGTGAAATCTTACCTCTTTCCATTTCAGCCCCCTTAGATCTTCTCTCCACCATTCCTCAACCTTCTTCACGAAGTCCGAGTGAGTCAACCACATGTCCTAGGCCAATGGGGCAATGGTCAGATGTGACACTCGGTAGAGCCCTTGTTATCAAAGCCCACCTGCCTATTTTCTCAGCTTTCATTGAAAAGGAACCTATCTAATTTGTAGCAGGTTGGTGTCTCTTGAAAGTTGGACCAAGTATAGAGAGCTTGCAGCAATGGGAGTTCCTTTGACTCACAGTTATTAATAAAATCATTGAATCTCCGTATGTTGGTTGTATTGACCTATTAGGGATTATTTGATTCATTCGTAAATCGAATTACATTGAAATCTCCCCCCAAGCACCACGGACCATCCCAAAACCCTTATATCCCATAAAGTTCTTCCCAAAATTCATTCCTTTCTCTGTAATTGCTTGGTCCATACACATTAGTTAGTGCCCAAGTAAATCCATCCTCTACCATCCTGAATTTTAATGACACTGAAAAATTACCTACTAGCTCCTCCAAAACCTCCACCGTATCCTCTCTACAAAAAGTAGCAATTCCCCCCGAAGCTCCCCAAGAAGGTGCTGAAACCCAACTTATTCCTCTAGATTTCCAAATGCTTCTTGCCCGTCTTCTATCAGTATCAACTAATTTTGTCTCTTGTAGCATCACTATATCCGGCCTTTCCCTTCTAAGGAGGTCCTTAATTAGCTTCTTTTCTTAGCATTCCCCAGCCCCCTCACATTCCAACTGATGATTTTCATGGAGATAAGAGATTTGTCATCCCCTTTTGAGATCAAACCCCTACTTGGGGGCTTTCCTTCTCTCCCCTCTTCCGCTGAATTCCAAATTTTCTTCTATATCTGATATCAACCTTTCCACCTCTGATCTTTTCTTCTTCCTTCGGTTGTTAATTGTTCCAGTTTGCTTAAGACTGCTTTTGTTTTGTTTTGCCTTTCTGAAATTCCTTGGTTTTCCTCCAAAGATTCCTATATTTGCCTATACTCTTCAGGGAGAGCACATATCTGTCCCCAAATCCTGTCTAATTCCTCCTGCATCTTTCCCACAATTGATTCATCCCCAGCTTTTTTGTTACTTTGAGCCCCTGTTTTTACTGAACCTTCTTGAACCTCATACTTCCCCACCTCTTCCTCTTTTCTCTTATACTCCTCCAAAAACATACAGATCTGATCCCAGATCTTTTCTAACTCCTCTTCCTGGAATTTTCTTCCCTTTACCACTTCCTCTTGTTCTTTGTCCTCCTTGTCCCCAATTAAATATTTTCCACCCTTGGCTGCTGCATCAAGTTGGGCTGCAAAAGTACCTGTTCCAGGTAGAAAACCCACATCAGTACTAGAAAACGAATTGACAATATTACCTGAAAGGTTGTGGGAAGAGGGCAATGACTCTTGAGAAGCAACATGAAGGGGCAAGGTCACGGCTGACTGTGGGTTCCCATTGTGTTCAACCAATTTTGTTTTAGTCCTTGCATCAGAATTTCCCTCTAGATGTTGTCCCCTGATTGATGACTCCGTGATCGGTGACCGAGGTATGTCCTGTTCCTCTAGTCTTCTATCAATGCCGTGCTGCTCTAGCAAACTGGGAGCATATTTAAGGACTGATATCCCCTACCTCTCCTCTATAAAAGCTGCGGTAAACCCCAATTCCTTAGGTAAAGGGAGAATTTGAGAGTGCTCCTTTTGAGCTAAGTCTGTTAAATCCAAATCATCATTTTCCATATAAAGCAGCTCGGTGTGTAGGCTCTCATCAGCACTGAGAGGTTTGGCATTTTTCAGTTCCACGCTTCCAATGCTTGAAGAGCCTTCAGACTCTGATGTTGTGCTACTTTCTTCCTCCGTCGCACAGTCCTCAAACGTGTTCGTAATATTTTGATTTACTGTCGCTGGAATGAGGGAACACCCTGTCTCCACTGTCGTCGGGTGCTTCTTGAACCTCAGATTGCGCCGTTCTGGAGAGTAGGCTTTTTTCTTCTTGCTTGGAGCCCATGCCCAGCTCAGATTTGCCACTCCACTGCGGCCAACCTTTTTTCCTGCGGGCGGTGGTTGAGATTTGCTTGAGTGGGACGATGAAAGACCATCTTTTTGGTCCATCATCTCCCCTTTTCCTTTGGTTACGTGCCTACTTAAAATGGCACGTGGCTTTTTAAGGCCTGGGTCCACCCGAATTAAAACAGCTGGCCTAGCAGCTGGCCCATTCACTTGAATAGACTCACTAATTTCTGCTGGGCCTGGGCCCAGCCCCCCAACCTCTTTACCAGTTACGTGTTTTACTTAAAACAACATGTGATTGGCCTCGGTTCATTGTGACCAGAGTGAACCGGCAAGACCGGCCCGAACCCTGAAACCTTGCCGACCTTTGTTCATTTTCTTTTGAAATTTGAACTCCTGGCGCAAGTCTGTCTCCATTTAATCCTCCTGTCACCGACTGAACATAGGACCTGCCATCCCTCAGCCCACCCTGCCATGCAGACTTTCCCCAAGTGTTTAAATTATTCTCTTTTTTCTCTTTTTTCTTGGATACCTCAGTTGACTTAGCCTCTTTTGTAGTGACTACTCTGCCTTGCAAACCATGCAAACAGTCCTGTTCTGCCCCTTCATCTTCCTCCCTTGTTCCCTCCTTCCATAGCTGGGCTTCAATGGAGGTCGCAAGCCAAACGGGGTATACTAAACTATCTGAAACCACCTCTATCTTCCTTGGAATGTCACTGGGTTTAACACCACCTAACATCACTGCAACTGAATGGAGATCACAATCAAAAACACCATCTAATCTTGCATCACAGATTACAGATATTGACTGTAATACTTCCTCATTCCAGAGATTGAAAGGTAACCCAAGCAATCTGACTATTACATTGTCCTCAATCTCAAAACTTTTGGTCTTGGAGAGAGGACACCATTTCGAGACTGTGGCAGCACCAGCCTCTGAGTGAATGTTTAAAGCTGAAATCTCTACTTCAGCTTCACCCAGATCTATCAAAGCTTTACAAGATTCATAAGGAGTAATCACCGTTGGCTTTTGTAGGTTTAATTCTCTGAGTATCGCCTGTGCAATACCTCTCCAATCCTTTGGTGGGCTTGAAGTTTCCACCACAAATTTCTTCCCCCAATCCTCCTTCTCTACTGTTGTTGCCAGTTTACAACTTCTTTTTCCTTTTTCTGCAATCATCCATTTCCTATCAATGGGTTCTTCCTCTCTCTTTTGCTTACCCCCTTGCTTTTCCTTTGCTACAGCCTCTACTTGTTTTGTTTTCAGCTGCTGAGTAAAGTCACTCAGTCCCTCTGCCACTACCTTCCATCCATTACCCCTTCTACTTTCTGGGAAGCAAACCAACTGCTTCTTTCTTCCTCCAAAGAATTCCTGCAGAGTTATGTAGCATCCTTTTGCATTCTTTTTGCATTCCAACTCATAACTCTTTCTTCCATCAAGGTTGAACTTCGTAAAGTTCAATTCTTTACCTTTAGAACTTGCTTCTGAAACAAACTTCTGCATCCATTCGATCACTTCAAGACCTTCCAGCAGTATTGTGTCTTTCTTTGCCTCCCTAATCTTCAAGCTCTGCTGGCCTCTGATCCTTATCTCTTCAAATATGAAATCTTTTGCTTCAATCTTCATCGCTTTCCTCCATCTTGCAACTTCTACGAACCTATTCTCCATCTCCATCTCCATCTTGGGGAATGTTTTCAAAAACCGCAACCTTTAAACCACTAAACTCTTCTTCAGGCTTTCTTGAATACATTACCTTCCAAGCCTAAAACATACACAAATTCATGAATACATTACCTTCTCAAAAACAAAAACCAAAATAAAGGAAAAACACATTCATTCCTTTTCCAATCATCATATCCCTTTTCTTGGTTGATGGAAAAAGTTGGGGTCAAAAAGGCTTATCATACATGGGGGGATTCCACCTGCAACCAAAGAGACGAGTCTCAAAAATAAGAAACATAAGGATAGGATATAAATAGATGAGTCACCGTCTCATCACTCCTTAAGCAAAGGTTATGAACATTAGAGGATTGGCACCAGTTTGGCCTTTTTCTTTGAAGCATGTTCGAAGTGTTGATCTTTTGGAGTACCACTTCCCAGCAAAAAGCTCTGGAACAGGGGTAGTAGACAACACTTCTTTAACAGGAAAAGGTGTAGCTACAACAGAAGACTGTAGTAAAGCATTAAAGAATGAAGAGCAAGAGAAGAACCCTGAGAAGGATTCTTACCAAATTCTACTATCCAGACAAGATTGATCTAGGAGTATTCTTTTCACTTACAAAAAAACACAACATTCTTTTCCTAGCATTTTTTTAATTATCAGAATTCCTTTAAGTTCATTTGTCTAAGCTTCTATTTGGCTAGGGATTCCCCTTATTGTAGATACTAATAGTACTAGTTTACTAGATTGTTTTTTTCCCAAATTTATTTAGTCTGATTGCTTTCTAATATTGGTGGCCTCTATTTTGTCAGGGAGCGCTTGCTAATAGATCCTAAAGAGCATCCGATGCTACTTGCAGAACCATCTTCTAATTCTCCACAACAAAGAGAAAGGTGATTTGGTACCAGCTACCCATTTATCTATTGTTATGGTAAAATTTAAGTTCTTCCAATTTTTTGACTTCTCTAATGTTATCATTTTGTTTCGGAAATTGGTTTAGGTTTCTAATTGTTGTAGAAATGAGTTTTACTAGATTAAAGAGTCATATACAGTACAAAGTTTTATTAGAGAGTTATTAGTTTTTAGTAAAGTTGTTTCACTTAAATTGCAGCTTGAACTTTAAGGGCCAATGCTTGTTCTTTTGGCTTGCTTTAGGTATTACTGTTTTGATAAGCAAAACATATTTGTTTTATATAATATACTAACAGATTGGTGAGAAGAGACACCCCCCTGCATAGATAGATACAAGTACTTTCTAGTCCATCTATTTCTCCTTTCAGTCACAGTTCGGATTTTGGTTTCTGAAGGGGATTGAGGGATGAAGAAGCCACTTGCTTGTCAGAGCTTCTACTTCTTGATAAAGTCTGCCTGGAGCCTTCTAAACCAGATAGGAGAGTTTGCTGTTCAAATCCGAAAGGCTTCTTCTCTTGTGCCTCTTTTTCCAAAGCTCTTTTCCGGTCCCCCTCCTCTCAGGCCCTGTTTGATGATTAAGTGGTTGTTAAAAGAAGTACTTCTTAGAAGTACTTATTTTAACAACCACTTAAGGCTGTTTGGTGACCCACTTGCCAAATCACTTATTATGTTTTTAAGCACTTATTGGGGTGGGGATGTTTGGTAAGCTACTTTCCCCATAAGTGCTTATATTGACACAAATGACAATTTTAGCCCTCACTTCACTCAAAATGCAATCAAATATTCATCCAACTTCAACAATCTTTTTTGCATGATTTTTAACAACAAAAATTTTGGATTTCTCATATGAAACCAAAATATTTTCGAATCAGACAAATAATCATACAAAAAAACAAAAAAACAAAACACCAAACATGGAGGGGAGGAGTTGGGCCAACTAACCTCCTTGTTGCTGATGGCTGGACGGTGAGATTGTCACCATTAAACTCTTCCAAATTGCAGATCTGCAAACACATCAAACATAGGAGTTTCAAGTTTAAAAAAACCTAAGAAAAATGGCTTAATATGAAGAAAAACTTTACAAAATGTAAGAAAATGGCAAAACGACAGGTCCGCCAACCATTTTTCCTAACCGCGGATCGTTGCTGGTGGAACTGTAACTAGGTGCATCGCTACCTGGTTCGCTATGTTCGAATGAGAGGAGAGGGAGGTAAAACCCTTGCGCGGGGGTATTTTGGGTATTAAAAAATTACCAGGGACTAGTTTGTCCAATTCTATTGGAATAAGTACATCTCCAAGAAGTGCTGAAAAAAAAGCCAACATCAGGTTACTTTTTTAAGAAGTGCTTCTTTTAACAAAAAGTACTTCCCCACTTTTTTACCAAACACACAAAAGCACTTAATAACCACTTAATGTGTGGTCCCAGCTCTTAAAAGAAGTATTTGTTAAAAGAAGTATTTTTTATAAGTGAAATCAAACAGGGGCTCAGTCTTTCCCTTGGAAGGAAGTGTTGTCTCAACTGGTTCCCCCTAAAATTAAGGCTTTCTGTTGGGAAGTGGTATATGGGAAAATTAACACTCTGGAACACTTGCAAAAGAAGAGGTCTTTTTTGTGTATTTCCCCGAATTGGTGCACTCTTTGTAAATCAGATGGTGAATCTTGTTATCACTTAATAATTTCTTGTTCATTTGCTGCAGAAATTTGGGAGTGGTTTTTCTCTTTGTTTGGATGCAGGTGGAATATGCCAATGGAAATTAAGATACTGTTTGGCCCATCTACATTTGTTTGGCCGAAGAAAAGGGGAAGGATAATGTGGAGGTGCACTAGAGCAGCAGTGGAGTGGACATTATGGGAAGAAATAAATGCTAGAATCTTCCAAGAGAAGGAGATAAGTAAACAACAAATTATGGATTGTGTAATGTCCAAAACCATACATTGGCTACAAACTATGGAACTGTTTAGAAAATTTTCCTTTGATGACATTTTGAGGAATTGGTTTTCAGTGGCTTCTAGTTTAGTGCAGAAGACTAAAACATGGCTGGTTTGGACACCTTCCATTGAAGACTCTATGAAATCGAACTTTGATGGGAGTAGTTAGGGCAACCCAGGCCTATCTGGAATTGGAGGGACCATAAGAGACAAAGATGGGAATCTGAAAGCATTCTATTCAGGACTGATGGGGAATGGAGATTCCTTAAGGGCTGAACTCTATGCAGTCCTACAAGGTATACAGATTGCAAGTGGGATAGGCTTAGAGAATTTGGTGATAGAAGGGGTCTCCAAGTTGGTGGTGGGTTGGCTTAGAGACCCAGACTCAATGATATGGTGTTATAGAAATGAAATGAAGAAATTCAAATGGGTAACACAACATATGAATTTGACTATACAATGGGTGGGAAGGGAGGGTAATGCATTTGCTGACTATCTAGCTAAGCAAGGAGTAACTAGGGATCAGTTGTTTTGGGCCCAATTGTAGTTTTTGTGTTGTTTTTTTCTTTTAAAGAGTGATTATGCACCTCGTGCCTCCCCTTGGGATGCTTGTAATAGACATTTATCTTTTTGCTGATAATGAATTCTTAATGAACTTTTACCTATAAAAAAAAATGAGAATCTTTATCACACCTTGTACTTGACTACTTGCTTCTTTCCTATGTTCACCTCCATTTTTTAGCAACAGACTTCTCTTCATCAACTGAGTTGTCATCGTCGCTTAAAACACTTTTCTCTTTGTTCTCGTCAGCCACCACCTCCTCCACTATCGGTTGATCCTCCTCCCTTTTTCCTTGATGCTCAGAAGCCTCAGCTTGTCCCCCCTCTCTCTCTAACAGTCCCTTACCTTTATCTTACCTTCAATCTTCTTTTTTCCTTTCACATTGCCATAGATGTATTTTGTTGTGCAGCAGATAAAGCCGCTTCTCATCTTCTTTTTCCCTTTGTGATAAATGACTCAACTATGCTCCTGTTCGAGCCCCCCCCTATGAATTAAGCTTTTGCCCCAATTAACTCCCTTAATAAAATCGTTCCTCAATTCCCCGTTTCTTTTAAGAATATTGGGCCCACCTTCTTTCTCATTAAAAGACTCACTACTTAAATTGATTCCCTTCTTACCCTTTTCAGTCAAGAAACCGAGAAAAAGGACTCAAAGTTACCAAATTACCCTTGTCCAGAAGTGACTCTTCTGCTTCGTCTCTAACCTCCTTACGATCCCCTGCAACTCCTGACTGTTCATCTTCTCCTTCATCTGCTTGGAAATTCTCTGCCAACAATCTTCTTTCTACTCTTCCTGACCAACCTTTTGAATTCTTTTACATACTCTGCGATGGCCATGGAATGAAGCAGGGATATCTACCTGAAATTACAATTCTTAACCGATACACCTCCCCTGCATAAAAAAGGTCTAGCAAGGCCGGAATCTCCAATGCTTTCTTCGTCTGTATCAAGATTCTGGTGAACTGCATCTGCTCCCAAAGTCAATTTCGCAAATCAAATCTTCTGAATCTTCCACATGCGTTACCAATAGCCTTGAAGGTCTCTGTGCACCACGCATGTAATGGAATCCCATAAACATTGATCCAACTGAAATCCTTCTGCTCTGTAATCTGACCAAGTGATGGGATCCATTCATCTAATCTCAACTCGGGAAACCTGTGCACGCCTGATTTCTCCCTCCCCAGCACTTTCTCTATATCCGATTTCCTTCCGAGGCTAAAAAGGAAAAGACTCGCTTCAAGTTTTCGAACTCCAGAAAACTCCCATCCATGCTATTCCAAGAATGCTTAGCTTTTAATCAAATGTATAGCCTTTGTATGTATACTCTCCGTCATTTTCAAGGAACTCTTCTCTTTATATATCCTGCTATTCCTTTCCTCCCATATCACACAAGGAGCTCCTACCCTCAAGCATCTCCACTTCATCTTGGCTCTTTTAGTGGCCACTGGAAATAAAGAGCTCTTAAAGAGGGACTTCACATTGATTGGCTCACTCCACCTAATTCCAAAAAGGTAAAAAATCCAGGATCACAGGCAAGGCTTATTTTGTGGGCTGTGCTCACTTAGATTGTTTCTGTGCTTTGATGAGTTAGCCTTGAACTTGATGATAAATATATAATTTGCCTTATTGTAGACTGTAGGCATGTTTAAACAGTTTAGCCAATAACTTGAATGTACAAGAGTACAGTCTTTTTGTTTTGTAAGAATATGTTCCTTACCCTGCAGCTTGTTTGCTTATCAATCATTTAACTGGTTTATTTAAAAGTAATGCTTTCTTTCAATCCTTATGTGTATCAGTTGGATTGCACCAGAAGCTTTTCTGTTTTGTGGCCTGTAACTTGTTGTAAAACATGTCTAACAGGACGGCAGAGCTTATGTTTGAAAAGTACAAGGTTCCTGCTTTGTTTTTGGCCAAGAATGCTGTATGCTCTTAGCCCTTCCTTTGCTTGTATTTCTGAATATTAGATGGTTTATAATTTATCTTTTTTTTGTCACTAGAGCATTGTTTTGGATGATAATCAATTCTCTTGGGTTAACCCTTTTTCCTTGATTTCCAGGTTCTTACATCTTTTGCATCTGGTCGTGCTACTGCTTTAGTTGTTGATAGGTAGAAGCTATTTACTTGTGGAATTTTTCCTGTAGTTCCATCTTTCTCATTGGCATCTTATCTTGGCGTCTTTTCACTTGCATTTCTAGTGCACTTGTTGTATGCCCACCTCTGAGTGTGGTCACTGTGTAAAGAAAGGTCAAATTTTAGGACTGTATCCAGTCCACTTCTCTGGGGACCCCAGATAGTTGGGACTAATATTGGGTAATGGTGTTTTTCTTGTTGTATGCCTACCAAAAATGTATTTGTATATTTATCAACATTAGATAACCTTTCTTTTCACATCTACTAATGCTACCTTATATGCTGAATCAAATATTTTATTTTGCAGGTGTATGTTGTTCTTATTACCTATGTTATTATTGCACACATATACTTTATAATATTTTTTGTATAAACACAAAGATGAATGCTGTTATAAAAGTATAAACTAGTTATCAGTTGGCTAGTTGAGCTAGACTGGCTGCATCACTAAAGTAGTTGGTTGATACCAATGATGCAGTTGCCTAGGATGACTAACCACCAAGTTGACTAATCAACCAAAAGTTATTTTAAAGCTTTATTTGCCTGCATTTCTAATTATTTGAAATAATATTGAATATGTTTGCCTTTTGTTATATTCATGTTGTTGCTTTAAATATTTGTGGTGGAATATGAGTGGACGACAGTATGTAAAATAGAAAAAGAGCATAAAATAAAAGAAGGAAGCGGAGGAGTTCTTTTTTCTTCAAATCAAGTGTGTTGGTATGGGGTTGCTGCAAACAAAGGGCTCATCTAATAGTCAAGGTTGAACTCTTTCCTTGGAAAACAAAGGCTATATTCCTTATTTTTGCCTATCCAGCTTTACTTTTTTCTTTGTTTGTAAAACAAAGACTGCAAACTAAATTTTCAACATCATTCTTTTCTTGCATAGTTTTTTTTTCATGAATAAAAAGCAGCTTTGTTAAAATAGAGGGAAGCAATTACACGATATAGGGGAGGTAAAATGACTTAACTCCCCACCAATAAATTACAAAGAGAGATAAGTTAGAAATTATCCCAAAACAAAGACACCCTATTGGTCCCTTGCTTAGCTATCCCATTGGCAAATAAGTTGGCATTTCTTTTCACCCAGCTATACTTCACCTCAATGTCCCTAGCAAGCCATTTGAATTTTTTCCTTTCATTGCTATAGCTACACATGCTACTGTTGGCTTCATTTAGCCATCTAACCACCACCTCCGAATCACCTTCATGGACCAATCTTCTAATGCTCAATTGTCTTGTTCTTTGGATTCCTTCCAAAACCACAAAGATCTTGTCCATAAGAGAGCCACCTCCAATTGGGCTTGAATACAATGCCAGAATAGACCCTTCCTCATTCCTGAAGACACCCCCAATCCCAGGCGGCCCTGGATTTCCAAAACTACTCCCATCAAAGTTTAGTTTTATGAATCCAGAGGGTGGGGGAGTCCAAATGGGACTAGAAATCCTCTTAACCTGAGCAGAGTTTGCTATCTCTTTCCAATTTCTCAGCAAGTCAGTCATGGAAAAGTTTGTAAAAAGGTCCAATGATTTCAGCCAGTGAACCACTTTTAGGTGTATCAAATCTGTTAAGTTCTCAGTTGTTCTTTCCTTGTCTGAATATATATGAGAGTTCCTTTCTTCCCATAAGGACCAACAAACTTTTGCCTTGATGCATCTCCACATAATCCTCCCTCTTTTCTTAGGCCAACTGAAATAGGGCGAAGAGAATAGACTTTGCACATTCAAGGGGGGGGGGGGTTCCAATTACACCCAAAAAAGGAGAAAGCCCACTCCCAAATAGATTTAGCAAACAAGCAAGTAACCATAAGGTGGTGGCCACTTTCTCCATCAACCTTGCAGAGAGAACACCGATTTGGGGATAAACAAGAATTGAGTCTCTTTCTTTGAAGCAGGTCATTTTTGTTGATTCTTTCCAGGAAAGTTTCCCAACAAAAACTACCGACCTGAGGAGGAATGGGCTTACTCCAGAACTCTTTAACAAGGAAGGGCAACCCAAGAGGAGCAGGAGGATGGGTTAAGGTTTCAATAAATGAGGCACTAGAGAAGTTACTCGAGGAGGGGGTTCTAGGAAAACATTATCAAGGATGTTTAACAGAGTCAAAATGCAGTCCAAATCTGTATCCCTAATGGCCCTTCTCAGGCCTAGGTTCCACCAAAAGCCAACAGTTGAGTCTGAAGGAACTAAGAGGAAAGAGATAGGTTCATCTTTTAGGTCTAATAGAGCATACAGAGAGGGTAATTGTTCCATCAAAGGGTAATCTCCAACCCAAGTTTGTTCCCAAAATTTTATTAGGTTATTTGAGTTCAAGCCATACCTGATTGGCTGATCCAAGGAGAGAATGCTGGAAGTATATCATGAATGGCTTTCCGTGGAGATGCAGCTGTAGCTCTTGCCAGAATTCCAGGATCCCATCCATTGTCCTCTGGCCCATGATTGCTAGCCACCATCTTCGTCCACAATTTGTCCCTTTCCAAAGGAAATCTCTACAACCACTTCCCTAGCAAAGCCATGTTTCTTTTCCTAATATTCCCTATCCCAAGACCTCCTAGGCTTTTATTTCTAGTTACCACCTCCCAACCCACCTTACGATCCTTCTCCTTTCCTGAATCCCACAAGAAGTTCCTCATCAATTTCCCCAAGGATAAATAATTCTTCCTCCAAGAAGCAAGTATTTTCTCAAAGCTTTCCACCACCGGGTTCTAAAAACTTTCTTTCTTGGGATTATCTCTTCTTTTCTTGCATAGTTGTAATCTATATTAACTTATTTCTGAGATCACATCAATTTCTTAAATTTATATAGTATCTTTTTTATCAACTAGTAAGCACCTAGGCATTGACTAGTCATCACATTGACTGGGGAGGCTAAAATGACTAGTCATCACTTCACCACATTGATAATGCTGGCATGCTGCTAGCATCTAGCATGAGTAGAAACAAGTATGAACTTTCTGTTGCTTTTGCAAACATCCATGTAAGCGTTTTCCTGTCCTTTTACATGGGGCAGTGGAGGGTGTCTTACAAGTAGAGAGCAAAGAGTGAGAATAGAACTCTGTTCCTACTGATATGACTGCTTGCAAAGAGTGAGAATAGAACTCTGTTCCTACTGATATGACTGCTTTAACATTCCTCATATAACACCTTCCTTCTTCCTCACATATTCCTCTAGCTGTAGTAATTGGAGAGATGGTGCTACTGTAAATCTGTGTTTTAAAAGCGCAAGGCGCAAGGGCCATTTTGCACCTGAGGTGCAAGGCGCAAGGTGAGGCGCGCACCTTTTTGAGGCAAGGCACACAATTTAAAAAAGTGCAAAAAAAAAACGAAAACAATGCAAAAAAATGGAAAAAAATGCAAAAAATTGGAAAAAAATGCAAAAAAGTTAAAAAAATTATAAAACATAATATTAATAAAAATATTAACTTAAGTTTTAAAAAACCTATTATCTAAAATTAAAATACATAAATATAATATGTAAAGAATATTCAAATGAGAATTTAAAAATGAAATCAAACATATAAAACATTTTCAAGCATATAAAATCCACAATCTCTTTTTTTTCTCAATTGCATCAAGTAGCTAATGTGATATATTACATTCCTAATTCTACGAGCCGCCTTTGTGCCATGCCCCTCGAGGCAAGCCCAAACAAGTCCATGTTAGGGTCTTAAATTCTTAGATTTCACACAAAAAATAATAATTTTATAGTTTTAATTGCTTTTAAGAAGATATTTTATTAAGATGAATGAATGGACAACATTACCAAATAGGGGGTTCTTGAAGCTTCGGTGAGCAAGCGAACCCCAGCCCAGTGGCCAGACTCAAAAAAAGGGAAAAAGCGGCAAGCTTTCAAAAGGCGCACGCCTGGGCTAAGGCGCAAGGCGCACCAGGCGTGCGCCTAGGACCTGGGTGAGGTGCCTACCCTAAAGTGCGCCTTGCCTGAGCGCCTAGGCATGCCTTTTAAATCACTGCTGTAAATTGGCGCTTTTGAGATGATCCTGATATTCCTTCATTGATACAATGTTTTAAAACTTTCCCATCACACATAAAGGAAGATTTCTAGATAGAAGCCATCTTCTTGTTCTTGGTGTTTCAACTTGCTTCACTTGTCTATGCTGCTCTGGAAGGAGAAAGTTGATATATTGATCATCTCTGCCAAATTCTATATTGGTTTTGAATTTTTTATGGTTCAGAGATCAATAGTTAAATGCATGCAGTGCCATTTTATAAAAGTGTTTAAAAATACGTATTAGTGTAACTACTTTACCATCTGTGTTGTGGTTGTATCTGCTTTAGACAAGGGTATTCATATATTTTATGCAATAAGTGAATAAAGCAGTCTTAGTGGGTTAAACATTTCTGAATGGCACAAATACAAATTCATTTTTCTGGTTGATAGTAAGAAGAGATGAACAAATGTTTTTGATAATTGAATTAGTTTTTATGCAATAAGTGAATAAAGCAGTCTTAGTGGGTTAAACATTTCTGAATGGCACAAATACAAATGCATTTTTCTGGTTGATAGTAAGAAGAGATGAACAAATGTTTTTGATAATTGAATTAGTTTTTATTAACAAAAGATAAAGACTGATAAAAGCACCTCAAAAAGGGTGTGAGATGCAGCCACACCCTTATACAATTATTTTTTTTTGATAAATGATGTCAATTTTATTAAATCATAAACAGGTTTGAGATTGAAAGCTCATACAACCCTTGGGAGATGCGAGTTGCAGCCTCTACCAACAAATTACAAGGAAACTAAAAACAACAAAGATCACAATTGAGCCCAGAAAAGGGCTTCCCTGTTTGCCCCTTGCTTTGCTAACACATCCTCCAAAGCATTTGCAGATCTCCCCATCCACTGTATAGAAGTAGACATATTCCTTATCAACCATTTGAACTTCTTAACTTCATTTTTGTCGCACCAAGCAGCATTCTACCACACCCTTGTACAGTTAAAGCTGAAAACTGAAAATTACAACACAACCCAGAAAAGAGAATCCCTAGAAGCCCCTTTCTTGGTTAGAAAATCTGTCACTGCATTGGCTGATCTGTTCATCCATTGTATCCTAATTGTCATATGCAATCTCAACCACTTGACTTTCTTTAGCAAATCCCTATGCTTTCAAGTAATGGAATCTGGATCCTGCAACCGCTCCACAACCACCTTAGAACCACCCTCTATTGTTTTTTGGTGGTAAAATAAAATTTCATTAAAAGAAAATTGGAGTACCATAGAATCACCCTCTATGACTAAGCTGTTCATACCAAGTTGACTTGCAATCTGAATGCCTTGTACAGCAGCTTGCAGCTCAGTCCTAGTAGAGTTTCCTGTATCCAGAGTTCCTGAAAACAAAGACAAGACAGAGCCTGCCTCATTTCTCAAGATCCCTACTCCTGACAAGCCAGGATTACCCCGACCTCTCCCATCAAAATTCAGTTTTATAAACCCTTCCAAAGGTGGAGTCCAATCTTTAAGGAAGCTGTTTCTTCCTATAGAGCTATTTGCCACTTCCAACCAGTTTCTCCAACAGTCATCAAAAGTAAAGAGCTGAAAGGAGTTCAGGATTTTCAGCCAATGTATTGCCCTTGTTAGGATGCACTCCTTTAGGCTCAGTTTGGAAAGAGTGCAAATACAAATATGTACAGTACAAATACATACAAAATAGCACTCCATTAGGATGCACTCCTTCCAAACTGAGCCTTAGTTCCACAAGGAAGTATTGTGGTTGTGTATGAGATGAGATAAGCGCAAAGTTGCAAGGTTCAGTACTTAAACAATCTTGGAGCTAGCCAAGAGTGATTCAGAGTTACTCTGACAATAGTCTCAGAAAAGGAAGTATGTCTCAGAAAAGGAAGTATTGGTATATGAGTACAAGCTGAAGTTTTTTTTCTTTTTTTTTTTAATTCTAGTTTTGCAGTTGTTTGATGATTTTATCCTTTTTTTAGAAAACATCTATTTATGCTGGGAAATTTTGGATTAACAAGTTGACTTTTGTGTTATTTAGTGGTGGTGGTTCAACAACTGTTGCTCCTGTACATGATGGATATGTACTCCAAAAGGTATTCTTCTACTCTCATCCCCCCCAAGAAGAATAAGAACTGAAAGAGTAAATTAAAATGAAATATTGACATCGTTATTGGTATATAGATTATTGTTTATGTATTGGTTCATATATTCTTACCTGTGAATGAATACAAAATAAAAATTATTATATATGAACTCTACTAACATGGATCCAGTCTCACAACCACAATTAGAACTGACTGCTCCATTATTACTTGCAACCTGTGTAAACTGGATGTTAATGTGTTGGTTTCTTACATGGATGCAAGATTACTAATGAAGTTGTAGGTCCTGTGGATTTATGTATCTTTTTTCGGTAAAATCAGAGGCAAAAATAATCGAAGCATAAAGAACACCTTTTTTCTCTCGCATCTGTTTAGATGAAGTTATTGCTTTAAAGAGTGTGCCATTGTGTGTATCTTCAACTGTTATTTGAGATAAGAAAAATAGAGAAAAGAAAGATAGAATGTTTCCAGAAGTCCATAATAACAACAGAGTGTTAGTTTTATATTTTTATTTTTATTTGTACTTCTATATTTTGCCCTATACATGATGTTGCATGAGAGAGTTGTAGTTTTGACATGCTAAGATTGTAGAGAGTCTTTGGCAAAGACTTTGACTCTCCCCTCCTTAGGCTCCATCAAACTCAATTTTGATGGATATTCATCTGGTAATACAATTGTATCAGATATTGGTAGTGTATTTAGAAATCTTGAGGGGAATATTACATTAGCTTTTCGATAGGCTAGACCATCGGCTGCTGGAGTGAAATTATTATTCCACTGGATTAGGAGTTTGCAAATGATCTACCTAGGTCATTTGCTAGAAGGGTTGCTAAGGTGAGTGTGCTGTATGGGGGCTCTAGCCAACCACTATGAGACCGAGTGTGGAGTCTTTATATTTGGTGTATGGGATGGTTGATTCTGTATCAGTCTACATCTCATATTATTCATAACCTTGTATAAAAGGGAGAAATGTACTGTCCCTCTCATCAACTCCTACCAGATTTCTTTCCACTTAAAACCTTACAACTTATCTTTTTGTTTTTTTGTTTTTTTTTTCTTTTTAATTGATAACTGATTAGATATTATTGGGAATGAGACAACACAGAAAATATAAACAGATGAGGTCAAGCCTCCCCAATTAACCAAACAGATAGCCAACTGCTCTCCCCATCTTGAAAACTCCAATAAAATTCCCCTCACTGTACTGCTACCATTAATAGATCTAGGGACCCATTGAAAAGACGTCTGCAAATTTTGGGCCAATGATTTAGTTTCTCTTATTTGATATAGAAATCTCCATGGACACAATCTTATTCTTCATCCATCCTATTAGTGCCTTACGTTATTAATAGAATTTCTTAATTATTACTGATAAAAAATTAATCATGGTTCAAAGTCTACATTTCATACTCTCAAAAAGAGGATTTTTGTTTGGCATGGTATATGAATGGATGTTTTAATTTGATGTGCTTATCAATGTTAAGGAGAGATTTTTGGCATGGTATATGAATGGGTGTTTTAATCTTTTATCTCTGGCTAAAAGACCTTAATTCTAGAATGCTTTTATGAAAACTTAAATTGATAAATGTTCTTGAATTCATTATATCATGGTCCTTCCACTTGAAAATGTTAATGATCATGTGAAACAAATGGTTACAAATTAGTACTTTTCTGTTCCTGAAATGTTGTGGATTGTGTAAATAGGCTGTAGCAACATCTCCTATTGGAGGGGAATTTCTTACAGAGTGCATGATGAAAAGCTTGGAAAGTAAAGGAATCACAGTAAGTTACTAGCAAACTGGATTTGCATACTTTGCTGACTTAAACATGTGATTATCTTAATTAATTTTTGAGTTTCTTTTTATTGTTGACACTGTTCCAATATTATTTTATTTTGGATTTGTAGATAAAACCTAGGTTTTCTTTTAAGAGAAAGGAAATACGACAGGGAGAATTTCAGGTATTTTATTTCTTTCTATTTCTTTCCATAAATTGATTGTTTCTTACCAAATCTTTTGATTGCTCAGTTTTTTGTCCTTTTTTTAGCAACTAACTTTTGTTTGTTTGTTTCAATATACATTCAAGTATTGGATACTTTTGTTACACACTAGCAGGTAGCAAATTCTTGGTGACTATAACTAGAACCATGGGTGTATATGTGCTTTATGCCACATGCCACCAAGCCCTGGAAATGCTTGTTTTTTTTTTTTTTTTTTTGCTTTATGGGACTACAACAGCACTATGCCCTGTTGTGTGGCCCATTCCCAAAACCCCCAACCCTAGTAAAGACAACATTCAATTCCGAGTCTCCATGACAACCAGCTAGAGACCTTACCAACTGAGTCACCTTCCTTTGGAATTACTTTACTTGTATGATTTTTTCCACTTGTTTGGAAGCTTCTATATTTTAGGGGAAATGATGGTCTCATAGTGCATTATTTCCAATATGTCTAATATTTTACACAATCTTGCTCATAACAAATAATGATTTCACACTGGATGCACGAATCTTGAATAATTTATAAGAATTCATGAATCTTAGCTTTGTTTGATGATTTGAAACAAGATGATAATTTAAAAGGGTCTACTTATGCATCTTTTATCATGACATAAATTAGCGATCTATATTATTGTGTGTTTCACAATGTTTCCACTATTTCTATAATTTTTACAATATTCCATTCCATATTATGTTCCCGACATTTTCAACATGTTTCCTGTATTTGGATGACCAATATTTCAACTGACACATGCATTTTAAACCTTGCCCACAAATATTAATCTTCTAGTGAAAGTGCTCCCAACAGAAGCCTTAATTTTAGCCTTTAGGAAGCATAGGTCCACTCTAAATAGCCTTCACTGGAAAACAACTCGTGGAAAGAAACCAAAGAGACAGGTTTAGAAAATGAGGCAAAGAAACAAGAGGGATTTGAAGGTCAGACTCTATAATCCGAAGAGAAGAATCCAAAGTCCAAACACACATTTGGATTACCTTTGGCATGATTGTATGTAAACCATTCTTTTAATCGCCATTATCTATAAAAAGTAAACAATCCAAACACACTGCATCCAAATACCCTACAAGAGAAATAAAATTAAGAATTTCAAAGTCCCTTAAACCCCTTCTTAGCCCAAGTCCCAAAGACCCAAACTAACCCATTCTTAGCTTAAGTCCCTTAAACCCCTTTTGTCTTCCTCAACCATGTCAGGTATGATTAGGCCTTGGGTCAAAAAATTAGATTTTGAGGAGATGTTTGGGTTGGAAGACCCCTCTGTTCAAGATCTTTTCTTCTCTTTTTGCTCTTTCTAATCTCTTGGGTAGACTTGTTTTTTAGCACTATTCTCCCCAAGGGCTTAATTGGAACCTCAGCTTCACTAGAATATTAGAGAGTTTGCCTGGTGTGTGATTTGCTAAGTTTGCTGAATTCAGTGGTTCTGGGGGAACTTGGAAGAAGCTGAATTTTGATGGTAGTTGTGTAGGCAATCAGGGCCTTTCAGGTATTGGAGGGGTAATTAGGGATGAGAAAGGAAACATACTCTCCTTTTACTAAGGATGAATTGGGCAAGGTGATGTGGTTAGATCAGAATTCTTGGCAAATGTGTACGGGGTTGAGAAAACCAAAGAATTAGGTTTTGAAAGATTGATTATTGGAGGTGACTTGAGAATAATTGTGGGTTGACTGAAAAAGGGGGAGGGAGTGACTTGGCACCTAAGGAATGGCTTAAGATGTTTCAAATGGCTATCAAGAGAAATGATGATTCAAATCAATTGTGTTAAGACATCTGCAAACAGTTTGGCAGATGGTTTAGCTAAGCAAGGGGTTCAAAAACAATCTATGTATTGGGCTCATTTGTAATACTCTAGGATGGTTTACCTCCTTTGGGTTGCTGTATTTTTTCACAACTTCTTGTTGTAATATTAATGAATCTTATCCTGTGTTGCTGATAAAAAAAATAAAAAAATAAAATAAAAAACAAAAAAAAGAGACCCAAACTACCCCTTATTTAGAATGGATACACAATGTGAGATAGGATAGGAAAGTTTTTGTGAATGGAAGAGGAAAGAGAAGGGAATTGATTCTTTAGGCTGTGTTTGGGAAGAGAACAAATACAAAAATGATTGGTACAACTTACCCATCTAGTTCAGAAAAATGTAAAGTGGGCATAGTTTTGTACTGATAATTTTGTATTATTGCCAAATGATTTTTAATTGTGAGAGGTGCAAACATGAATCACGAGATTGGAATTCACCTTTTTTACATTGAACAACTTGAAAATGGATGCAAACTTTTGCTCTCATTTGAATGCAAACTTATCTTGGAATGCGTATTAACTGTCATTATCGATACATAAATACATTCTTGCAAAACACCTGCAAAAGTGAACCAGAGTGCATATGTGCACTGAATTGGCATTTGCACACTTCCCAAATGCAGCCTTAAGGGCAAATCCCCCACCATAAATCTTTCTAGAATTTTATTCTGTCACTAGAGCGGGTGTCATATCTAATGAATTGCAAGAAAGAAGAATAGAAGAAGTAGCTTTTTAGGTGGCAAAAGAAGCTCTAGTATTTGAGCTTAGATCCCAATTCCCGATCATTAGCCAAAAAACCATGGATATTTTTAATAGTAAAATGCCACAACTTGTCTGTCATGTCCCAATTCCCAACAATTAGCTGAAGAATCATCATGAATTATTTTTAATAACAAAATGCTAAAACTTGTCTGAGTGTAAGAGGAAACACCAATATTGTTTTATCAACAAAGAGATATTTCTAAGGAACAATCCTCTCATACCTACCCTCCTTTATTCTTGCATTACATCTGCTAATTGATGAAATAATCCCTGTTAGATTATCTAGTCTCCCGCAAAAGGATGTCTCATGATTTTCTCCAATCTCTTGGCAATAAGCATTTGGATTTTAAACATCAAAAGGTAATAAATTAGTAACTTAACACGTGTTTTACTTGATTAAGGTGATCCTATCCCACCAAAAGACATTTCTCTTCCAACTAGCAAGCTTCTTAACCTGTCTATAACCTAGGTTCCAAACGCTGTTAAATCTATGATTTACTCAAAGAGGTAGTCTAAGGTAACACAAAGTCGAATCAATTGATGAACATCATAAGACAAAATTCCTGGCTAATAACTAATTCTTGTATTTATGCTTGTGTTGCAGCTTTTACCAGTATTAATTTTCTAACTTGATATGCATTCAAAACATTTAATTAGGAATTTAAACTCCTGGCTAATAACTAATTCTTCCCCTTCATCCTTGTAGATCATTATGTCATTAGCAAATTGTAGATGGGTGGCCACCACATGAACTGTACCTACTCCACAACTAGTGTGAAAAGATGAGTCTACTTGATACATCCGCAACTAGTGTGGAAAGAAAGGCTTATAATGAATCTCCTTGTTGAAGAACCCTTTTTTTGTGCTTGGAGATGACGATCAGATTCTGATCAAGTAAGAGAGATTGAGAAGAAAATTAGGCTGGAGGAAGTTTTTCAGGAGGAAGTGCCAGTGGGCAAAATTATGAGTCTTTTCTTCTTGGGTGAAGACATGTATTCTTTAGCATTGTCAGATTGAATAACACAAATAATAGAGCCAAATTGGGCTTTTATTTCCATAAAGAAAGATTTGAATACAAAAAATAATTTGGACCTTTCCTTTAACAAAAATAACCATGTAAAAAGTCATCAACAAAAGTAACAAAGTATTTGAACCCTAAATAAAGCACTATAGGACACTGACCCAAAACATCTGAATGAATTAACTAAAAAGGTTTCTTATCCCTAAGAGATTAGATGCAAAACATCCTAAACATTTCAGTCCGATTAGTTTGGTGACTAGCATCTATAAGATTGTGGCAAAAGTGCTGTCATTGAGACTTAAAAAGGTTCTTCCCTTTCTCATTACTCAAGCTCAAGGAGCCTTTGTACACGGTAGACAAATTATAGATAAGATCCTTATAGCAAATTAATGTGTGGAGGAGATGAGGAGATCAAGCAATCAAGGCTTTGTTTGTAAGTTGGATATTGAGAAGGCCTATGACTTGGTGGACTGGATTTTTTTGTTAGAAGTGTTAAGAAGATGTGGATTTGGGGACAAGTGGTGTAGTTGGGTGAATGGCTTTATAACCTCTTGTTATTTTTAAGTTCTAGTTAATGGAGGGGTTAAGGATTTTTTTCCCAGCATGTAGGGGGCGACAAGGTGATCCATTCTTGCCTTTCTTGTTTACACTTGTGGCAGATGTGTTTAGCAGAATGATTTCTAAAGCAGACAGGGAGGAGCTAGTAAGTGGTTGGAGGATAGGTAGAAATAATGTCCCACTGACCCACCTTTAGTTTGCGGATGATATTATCACTTTCTGTGAGGGGAGAGATCTAAGCAGAGTGAGAAACCTAAAAGATCTTATAAAATCCTTTTGAGTTTGTTTCCAACTTGTCAATCAACCTTGATAAAAGCTGCGTGGTGGGAATTAACTTGGAGGATGGGGAGACAGAGGCCAAGGTTTAAAATGTCGATGTCGATGTCGATGGAAATGTCGTTTACCAAAATATAGGACATATGTCGGAAATGTCGTGGGGAAATATTGTAAAAATTAGAGACATTGTGGAAATATTATGAAATATGTGGAAATATGCAAAGATATTTTGTAAAATGATAAAAGAAGCATGAATACATATTTCTAGACTATTATCTTATTCCCAACCATTATATAAATCTAAGAAACTAAGATCAATGACAAATTAGTAACTGGTGATTTACTGATTTATTATGCATTTTGATGTTTTTACAAGGTTATCTGATATTTTCTTTTCTTATTTTTAATTCTGATTTATTATAAATTCTAATGTATTTATTTCACACTAGTAAATAGAACTACATTTATTCTGATTTTTTAAATATTAAAGTTATAATACATTATGTTTTATTATAAATTTAATAAACTGA